TGTATTGAAGCGCCGAATCAACTACAGGTGCCAGGTTAGCAAAATAGATCGGGAACCCGCCATGCTTTTGTCAGAGACAAAGGGTAATGAAGACAAAGTGAAAATCTCTTTTATACGCTTCTTTGCATATCACGTTGCCGTATGGCGGAACAATGTTGTATTGTATCCCGTGAGTTTTGTATACCCGCAGTAATATTCATACAATTAAATCATGCAGAACTATCTTTTTCTGACTAAGAACTCGAGTTCACAGGTGCAGCAAGCACATGACCAATTCAAAATTCCTGGCCGTACCACAGCGGAACGAATAATTTCTGCTGATACTGTACGTGGTATTGGCTCACTATTACAATATAGTTTGCATTACGGCGAAAGTCTGCTATTCTTCATATATCTATTAGTGGCGAACTCTTTGTTTAGACCGGCCCGAGACCATTTATTGGTTAGACTCTCATAAATTTAAAGCGTCACGTCAAAATCAAGGGTCCTCAGCAAAACAAGACAACAGCCCCCAATGGACATTTCGTGGGAGGCGCCCATATCAAATGTTTTAACAAAACATTGGCGACTCTCGCTCGCGATCAATTTGCCGCAAATTGTATAGATGTTTATCTTCTATCTAATTTGTGTAACTGCGCTAATACTAACCGTCGGTAACACGCATTTCGTTTGTTATTTTTTAAAAAAAACCAATTTTTATTATAATGGAATGGAATTGCGGGCTAGCTGCTGATTATCTAATTATAGATGGTGATTGTGTGCTTACTGTTTACGTATATATACATACTAATGATTTATGATGACAAGAAAGAAAACTGTTACATGTTAGAAGAAAAGGACTAAACGTTGTATTTAAGGAACAAATACAATACGGTTTATTTTTCTTCTATACTCTCCTGGAGTTGTCTGCAACCATGAGATACAATGAAAATAAAAGAGTTACATGCCCGTATATTATAAACATAAATATAATATATATCACTCTTCTTTAATATTCTCTATTATTATGTGCTAAAAAGGAGGGAGAGACTCGCGAGACCCATTCTATGGTTCCGACGTTTATGTTAAAAAGGAAACATAAGACGCATGCAAAAGTTCTTTCGCAGGGTATTGTACCGACCCGAGTTGGTATAAAGCATCGCATTTTAAGGATACTTTACATAATCTTCTCCCTTGCTCTTTCGATATTTCCAGATACCAAACACAATCGCACCAACAACAACAAGCGAACATACTGTAGCCACTGGTACGACCAATTTGGGCAACGGACTTGCACTATAATCCACACCTGAACCAGTATCGATTTGAGGCTGGTACCCTCCTTGAGTGGGGGTGGCAGCTGGCACGTCGGTGCCAAGAGTCTGAAGCGCCCCGCTGCTAGAGTTGGTTGCTACTTTTGGTGGACCATAACCGTCCGGTGGCCATGTTGTTGATGCGTTGCCATTATAATAGCAGGTGATATTGACTCAGTCGACGAACATTGTATAGGTTTTCGTTGTATCACTCCAATCAGTCTTGCCAGCCCAGGCTGCAGTACCATCAGCACCCATACCACCATCCCACATTGAAAACTGTACTCGGGATGGGCGGGCGGGGAACTTGTAAAGACCTGTTGCCGGATCCAAGGTATCTGCTTTGTTAACCGTACGCACAAGGTTACCATCTACGATCCAACTGTTTTTGGAGAGAAAAAAACAAAAATTCGTTAGTGTTGTTTTAAATCTCGTTAGGGTCTCACTAGCGGGTCGGGCAGCCGCCTCTCCAACTGTCATATTCTTAAATTAAACGAAAATTCCTAAACGATGTATTTACCTGATATGATCTGGGAGCCATTCGATAGTATAAATGTGAAAATCAGCAGTCGAATCAGCACCCAACGGGTGATGTTGACCCTTTGTGTAGTCCAATGATCCATTCCAATAATAGTTCGACTGAACCTCGTTTGGGTTAAGCCCCACCCATTCGTAATCGATTTCGTCACCGACTGTATTTTTTGTAATGAATGACGTCACGATTCCGCTTGCTGTAGAACCGGTCTTTATGCGGGCGGTAACGGTACCGAATTCCATAGCTCTCGTACTACTAACGGTAGATCCGAAACCTTGATATCGTCCTTGGTCATTTTTGTCGGTGCCGTCATATTGTAAACCTAGTTGTAGGTCCCCGTTGTTATCATATGAAGCATAGTCAGGTTTGAAGTCTGACGTCCAATGATAAGAATTGGGGTCCCCATTCCATTGAAACCAGCTAACTAGACTTTTGTTTGAGAAATCATCGTACAACGAGACACATGGTGGGTCTGGATAACATGATTTGTCGTTGAATGAGTTGTCTGGCTCACAACCTGTGGGGGGGAAAAAAAGAGAAGCATAGGAAAGGGTAGAGGAGACGGATTAGATTACTTGTATGCTATGCACAAGTGCTTTAACAAAACTGCATTAAGCAGTGAAAATCTCCAAGTCTTTTCACATATTGTTTTACTTACCAAATGCACAGAATTTGGGATCATTTGAGCACCAGCCCATATTACAGCACGGAGCTTCTTGTGGGCAGTTGGCACCGTACCCTTTGCATATTGCTTTAACGTGAAGCGAAAGACTAACAACTGCTACCGATATGACGGCAAAAGCCTATTAAAGATAGACGAGATTTAATGTCAGTATGGAATGCATTATACAATGAACCCATGCGGAGATGAGCGGAACGGCGACAGTGTCCCAGACTAAAAAAACGTACCCGGAAAGACCTCATATTAAGATTATTAGATGGTTTGATGCCAGTTTTTTAAAATCGTATATATAAATAATTAAGATAAATGTGATGTCTAGCAGTGCTAACAGAGATGTGGGGGTAGATAATAATGGTAGGTGAATAGCACTGAATGCGAAGAATATGAGTGAGGGGATGAATAAATTATGGAGAATGAATGGATGGATGCTGTGCGGTAGACGCACTCAGGGTCTCCGAGACGAGGTTAATGGGTGGGGGGGAGAGGGACGGGGGAGGGGAATGGGAAAAGATTGCTGGGCAAGCAAATACGAGAGAAAGAATTAAATACAAGCAAACAAATGATGCGGTTACCCTTGTGCTTTATTAAAATTTCCACATACCCAATATAGTCGAGATTTTCTTATGCACTTGCTTAACCGAATTAGGTTGACGATTTAATTTATTGCCTCATTTTAGAAAACGTTTTGGGGATGGACAACTGTCGTACACCGGTTAATTGACCATTTTGAAGAATGCCAGTAAAAATTAACCTTTTGGGTGCACTAATGAATAATAATGAATTGGAAATTTGAAATCTTGGCATGGGGGCGTACTTGACTAGAATGATGACTAGAGGCATATGCGAAGGAAAACTATTTTGCGGGAGTTTGGTCGATGTATTTCTTAATTTAGTATCGCTATTATTAACTTTGCTTAAAAGCCCAAAGCAGGCATTCTATTGCCTTTGCTTTCGGATATTTTCGCCCGAATACTCGACTTGTCACAGGGGGATGTGCTTCTTTTCTTTCATAAAAGGCATTGGTATGTGTGTATAAATAGAAACAGTTCCACACACACAGACAGGACAGCGAGCTTTGTTACCTTGATGCTTGCTTTTAGAAATTTACTTGTTCACAATGAGATTTGTCTTACGATCATATAAGATGACGTCAATTAGAGCTGCGGCGCGGAAATACATAAATGTCACTCATTATAGACAAGTAACTTAAACGGATGGGCGTCATGTGGTATTTAATATTACTTTTTTCTATTGGGATGCTTCATCTATAAATATCCATTACTATTAATTATCTTTCATCGTTTACCCTTGAAGATTGTTCTCTTATGACAACACTTCAATTTCATATGCGATACCAAATTTATTACCGGCTCTGGTTAAATCGTATTCTATTTGTCTAATTCCAAAAGTCACGAGATTATAAATAAAAGGCTGAAATGTCTAGTAATCGAATAGCTACATCCTCTTTGATGCTCAAAAGGCCGGTTGGCCAGCGCAGTTCCTTCAGACGGGCGGAGCAAATGCCTTTTCGATAGGGTGTGCTATTTTTATACGCATTAGACGTAACTGAAAAGATAACTGTCTAGCCAGGAGAACTATTCATTCGCATGACAAACGGCTTGCCCGTCAAGTTTCCGGGGGTGGTAGACTAACTGGATACAAGAATAAAAAGGTTTAACACAAGATATTATTGTGCTAGTCAATATGCATGAAACAAATAGTTCTTATACGTACTGACTCGTTACCAAAAAACTTTGATGCTATCAGATTGGCTCGCAGTAAACATAAGGTATCTCGATAAAGGTTAGGGTTGGGTGAATTGGTTTGTTCTTTTTTTTTTTTAACAAGTGGATGAATGACGACGTATGTGTTACAGAAAAAGAATGCTTATAAAACCCTTTTGTATATACTTTAAAAAAAATATCTTTCTTTTTTGTTGTGCATGCATGCATGATGAATGAATTGTCATTCGTTAAATCTACATTACCCTTGTGAGTACTATTCTTGTTGAGTTTGGCGCTGCATACCCATTTATCATCATTCCATCCAAAGACTTGTGTATGTCCGGCGGAACCCCTTTACAATTATCGAATATTAGTTTCAACAGTTTGGGAAACTGCTTCACCCATATTATTAGTGAATCAACATTAAACGCACAAAAGCAGAATTCAACAGTCTCTATGCTGCTTTTCTGTTTCAATAAAGCGTTCATAATCGCTTTCATATGTTCGTCCGCATGCCACAATCCAAAGTACTTTAACTGACCTTTTTGATTAGTTAGTAGAGTTGATATTTCATCGTCTAGATGGCTGAGAGTATAGGGATTGCTATGATGCATTGATATCGACATGTACTCTAACTGGGAATGTCTTTGCGCACACAGTTGATATATATCGGTTGCAAAATAATCGATTCCGTAATGCAATTCTAATTTCCTCAACTTTTTGCTCCTGTCCATAAACATCCGTACGAGCAGCGTAAAAGCCGCCAGCTCTGTCCTGGGATCGATATCCGGATACAACGCTAGAAGCAAAGCACGCAGATCAAAGTCAGTTAGGTGCTCTAGATATATCGGATAATCGAACATGTTCGACGAATGCATCCATGACGTTTCCAATCCCATTCTATGGAGGTCGAGCTTGTTCTCGTCCGATAGACATTTGAGATAGCTAACTAGCAGGGATGGGTTGGCCGATTGTATGCTGCGAGTGAATGGACTTCCCCAGAGTATGGCGACTGCTACATTACACCAGAATTTACTGACAAACAAGCAGTTGTATAAGCAGGCGTAGTTGTCATGCAAAGTTTCTAGGATTAAAGGAATAGCGACATCGAGTAGGGTTATGATCATTCCTACAAACGTTCAGTCAACAGGATTGTTGTGTGAAGTTTGAGATGTTGTTATGTTTAGTTTTTATATTGAGGGATGCCATTGTGAATGTGAGCGAACGATATTTGTTTAGCGGCAAATTGTTTACAGTAATGATCGCTCACGGTTTGATCGTTATTATGAAAAGCACAATGGCTTAGCTTTGGGGTTGCTGATATTGTAAAAATAATATAATAAAATCTTTGGCAGATTTAAAAGATAAATTTGAAGAGAATACTTTCGAACAATTCGAGACACAAAATACGTAATGCCGCATGTATCAAACTTCAGAAAAGTCGGATAATGCAGATCGGAAGTCACGTTCACAAAGATAACAAAGAAAGTCGTAATCATTGTATTGTATGTCCCCACGGTTTAAATTCGGTGATTGTGAAATAGTTAAATTTGTTAGTGTTGTTTACCGTTTATGAGTTTGCGATTTGAAGATAATCCACGTGTCGATCGTCTACTAACTTCCTTATCGGTAATTCCGACATTAGGATAAAAGCACGGGTTTAATGTCTTAAAAACCGAAACATCTCCTTTCCATTTTCAGAATGTACACCTTAAAAAACCAGTTATTGGTGTATTTTAATATTGTGTCGCACAAATAATGCTGTGTATTCGATCATGTGCCACTAATATTCGGAATTCTTTGGCCCGTACACAAAAATACAGTATGTTCTAGATGGACTGAATAGCGTGATACACATTTATTGATGCATCCGATGGTAAACATGCGCAGTGCATTCGTTGGTTAAAATGGGTTTTCGAACAGCGACACAACAACAATCACGAGACCCGTTGCCTATTGCAAATTGTATTACATTTGTGTTCCAATGATTACAATTGTTTATCTGTTATCTAGGACCTTACGCGATATTAATTAATTTTAACACAATTGTAAAGCATCTTGATATCGGGTAATTCCTTTGTATGATTGCTTAAAAGTAATCCCTAATTCCTAATCATGTTTATTAAAATCTCGATTTTCGGAAACGAATTTAATCGAATATAAATTACATAAACGTGCTTCAAAATAACGTATTCTAACTTGAATTTATACGTTATTTTAATATTACATTATTCAAAAAATTTTGCGCGCATAAATTTGATAATACATATCAGAGTAAACATAGAATAATTATATTGTTCGTTTTTATTTCGCTCCTTGGCAACAACAAATTTCCGAAACCCCGTCGAGATCGGCTCATAATTATTACTTTGATGTTGGTATTCCGAAACATATACTAATAATTACATCTTTAATGTTTTCTCAAACTTATCGCCTACTCAATATTTTTTACGCTAAAAACTACATTATTACATTCAAATTAAATGTCTAAGTCCATCCTATACTATAACTTAATTCATAACTAAATTTCATAACTTGCATGCTTTGATTAACAGTATGAGCACCTTTTACTTTTAACAGCTGTACCAATAAAATATACAGTGTTATGTATTCAACTTACTGTAACATTTCTACTCAGTAATTGGTTTTGCTTTAAAATACACTGAGCAATAATAAGAGTTTTTTCTACTGCCGGGTAACATGGAACATGCAAACAGACAACGTAATTATCACTAAATATGACTTGTCTGTGTGTCAAAATCTGTATCCGTAAGAACCTATCACAGATATGAATCGGTGATAGGTAAGAAAACGCCCTATTAACTTACAGGCAAAAACCTGTAGCAACAGAATAAGAATATGGGTTGCATGATACAGTATAGAATTAACAACATTCATACAAAAAGTGAATAGTGATTGCATCAACACTTTGGGAACCTAACGTAGGTGTTTGAAATTGGTTAGTCGTGTTCACTAAATTATGCCGCTTTAATCTATGTTCACGTGATTATTAAACGTTAAACATAATTTTTTCGTCCCAGATATTTTTTTCTGATCTTTTGACCAATGGATTACGATTATTTTCTCTCAGAAGTATCAAAAGCGAGACAGCCGTCTCCCAGTACGTTCAATTTTTGCAATGTCACTATCAGTTATTACCTTCTCGTAAGGAAATGTCTAACCGTGCCAGTCTACGTTAACTAGTACGTGCCCTAGTCCCTCTTGTCAAGACGCCTGGAATGGTTAATGCGACTTTCTTTTTGCAATATGATCGGATTTCTCTCCGAGACATTAAGAGTAATACGACTTGCAATCTACACAGATTTCTCTCGGGGCCGGCAATCCCAACCCCACTTCATTTCCGTTCAAGAGTATGACAGTTACATTAAACGACGGCCAGAATTACACGATTGCCGAAGACGACATGGCTGATGCATTGCAATATGGTCCAACAGTTAGTAAAAAAGAAATCAATTTTTGTGAACAAACAGTTTTTTAAACCTAAACACACGCATACCCCACCTTGACGCAAGTATTCTAAGCAGTAATAACACTAGCCAGGATTACCAGCGCTTCGAGAATGGCTGCACAATTTTCAGAATACGATCCATGAACCACCCGCAAAAAGTTTCGATCTCTGTGTAGGCACAGGCAGTCAAGATTTACTAGCAAAGGTAAAAGAAAAAAATTCGACGTATGGTTAATGTCTGTTCTTGTCAAAGAAAAAGAATCTCACTTGCTTTTCCTGATGCATGCGTTTTGCCGTATAGACACTGGAGGCGCTTATAAGTCCGGGTGATTACGTATTGATTGAAAATCCTACGTACACAGGAACGCTGGCTTTCTTGAGATCCCAACCGTGTAATCTAGTTGGTAAGAATGTACTTGATGAATACGCTAGTCTATCGCTGTATACTAACCATGTTATAAACAATTCCCATTCATTTTGCTTAGAGGTGGAGACGGACGATCAAGGACTAGTCCCAGATTCCCTGTACTCTATTCTCGATAACTGGGACCACACGCAGCGCTTTCCAAAGATTCTTTATACAGTTCCCGTTGGGGGAAATCCAACCGGCATTTCTACGACGTTTGAACGGAAACAACAGATATACGCCTATGCTCAGAAGTTCAACATTCTCATCCTCGAGGATGATCCATATTACTATCTTCAATTCAATTCACCGAGAATCAAGAGCTACTTGTCCATGGACACGGATGGTAGAGTTGTCAGGTTCGATTCCATGTCGAAACTCTTATCGGCGGGCATTCGTATCGGCTGGGCGACAGGGCCGGCACCCATTATCGACAGGATTAATATGCATACTCAGGCGACGAATCTTCACCCGTCCAGTCTGGCTCAGATGGTCATATATAAACTGCTGGAACAATGGGGCGTTGACCAGTTTTTGAAACATGCCGATAGTGTGGCTAGTTTGTATAAGGGAAAACGAGACAATTTTCTCGCGTGTGCTGACAAACATTTGGCGGGAACTTGTGCTCAGTGGGTAGTGCCAAGTGCCGGGATGTTTGTATGGATTAAACTTGACGGTATCGATGACACAAAGGATCTTATTCATAACAAAGCTCTGGAAAAGAAGGTGTTGGCTATACCCGGAGAGGTAAGGTTCAATTACGGTACTCGTTAATTATTAGTTTATGTACAGTTTACGGGATGGCCCGTTGCAAGCGAAGCCGCTAGACTATATGATGACCATTTCATTAAGGCGACATCGGTTTGTAACGATCTGTATGTTTGCCAACCGGTCCGATCGCTGGCTTTCGCGATCGTTCCAATATAGTTAATATGTATTGTTGATTGATTTACATACCATATATATCAGAACCGAAATCCTTAAAACTTGCACGCTCTTGAAAACGAACATAGTTTACTGTATAAATTGTAGGTAAATTGACTAACTATTTTTTGCTCAATTACAGTTGTTTTTGCCTC